TCTTTTGTTTGAACCTAACGGCCAGTTCGCAATTTACGCATTTTGATTTGCGACTATATATGTAAATATTCTTCAAAAGTACTAGAAATTTATGGAAATCTCATAATGCCTTCAAAAATATCTCAAACTAGTAATTTCACTTTCTATTTCTATTAAAGTTTTTCGAAAAAAGTCTCAAGAAAAGAAGAGTTGTCTTTTTAACTTACAGGGAAACCTGAAATCCAAAATCCAATTTTAACATTGGTAGTCAGCTAATGAACTTTTTACATGAGGAATTATATCAATCATAAGTGATTCATTATGAAAAAAATAGAGTGTCTAGAAGAGTAAGAATCAACGCCTGTCATACCTGCTCAACATACACAACAAACATGCTCCAACATCATGTTTTTAAAACTTATTGATAGACATAATATTGAAATTTCTAGACTTTTTTTCTTCAAATGTCTTTGTACTTAATTTCCTTTTTCCTACTCTAGTTCATACTCCATTTAATTACACCCCTAAATAATCTAACCTTACCATCCCTACATTGACAAAATGGGGGTGTGTTGTGAACTTTATAATTTTTATGTGTTTAACCCAATTCCCATGTTTATGTGTAACTTAGATAAAGAAAAGTGACCAACAATAGATACATGGAGGGATAGTTTTGATGGACAAACAACTTTATAGATGAATATCAAATCATAAAAAACATTTGAATGAAAACGAAGAAAACTCAAATTCAGGTCAAGGTATATATGTAGTCTAGATCTTTCTTGGTCTTCTTAGTCATTGTAATATTTGAAGATGGAGTAAGATAGGATGACTTGAAAACAATGTTATTGATATTTTTGAATTTATCATGGAAAATTAAAAACTATATTAATAGTTCTTCACACAGGACAGAAATTTTGGAGAAATTGAATCTATGCTGGCATGCTGGCAGAGAACCCAAGTGTTAGTCAGAAAAAGAGTACACAATTGTCATTTCAAAATTTACCTCATGGCACACTGCATAGTATTCTATTTCAATGAACTGAATCCCATTTATGCTACAGCTTGATAAAGATCTGTCAACACTTTTAAAAAAGAAGAGGCCATGGCTCAAGGGGTAAAAAGTAGGACATAATACTCTTTTCTCCTTTCCTTGTGTATTAAATGGCAGCCCACATATAAACTGGTAGAGGAAGGGTAGTTTATGATTAACACCTGCTATATCTATTGAACATCAAGTTATTTTCTCATCTGATTGATAAAACATTTACAACTTAATCCTTTCATTAACTTCGTGACTCTAGTCTTTTATATTCTTCACTACCTAATCAATTTCTACCACTCAACTTCTATAATTGGATAGATTTTGAGGATTTATTTCAAAATGAGTGTACAAAAGGCACACCAATATTTTATATATGATCAGTTTCAAGATTATTATAATGAATATTAACACATCTAATTCATTAGTTCTTTTTAAAAATTCTGATATTTTTTTAGTATCAGAGCAAAATGAGCAATACATACACATTCTTAATGGTCACCTATTGGAATATGAACTAGAATGTATAGAATTGGCATTTTGATATTTGCTGTACCAGCTGTTAGATTGATAGATCAGAATCCGTTTTTCTGTATCACTTATCATATTGGAACTCTTATATCTGGTTTTCCTGCAATTCAACAAAAATGTATCCCTTATGGAAGTATAGACTGTAATAACCTTCTTACAACTATTGGCATCATGATATTGTCAGCAAGTCCATATTGGTATATTAATTTACTCACCTGGGACAACTCATTAGGAGTGTTTGCATGTCATGAATATTTCATGACCTATCTTGATTGGTCACTTTAATCAGATGTGTCATTTTATAGGAAAAAAACAAACATGACAATCTATTGAAATAGCTGTGACAGAGATTTGGAATTAACAAACATTTTCTGATTGAGCATGTCAGTGACCCTTTTAGATATAGTTCTAAAATTTTCTTTACTAGTCAATAAAGTACAACCATCTACCTTTTTCAAAATCAAATTTGACAACATGTACTCTTACAATTCATCAAAGGTGACATGGAAGTCAGGACTATTATCACCACTGGGAGATTGCTAATATGTTTTTATGCATGATTATTATATATACACAATTGGCAGTAATGGATGATCATAGTCCATTTAGAAGTACCCAAAATGACTATCATATTCTTTCCAGCAGGTTATTATTTGATATGAGCCGTCCTACATAGTCTGGTAATAAAACTAGGCCGTCATGACCTAGATCTAGTTATCCTATTGGAGTTGATTATTGACATTTCTAACCAAGAGAAATATAATGAGGTTTAGATTGGGAGTCCTTTAAGAGTTTATTGTACTAGTAATTTCTAAACATGAAGTATTTATTTTAAAGCTCGGGACTCAAACATCAGAGCACCCAGGTTCACATCATGGCATTATCATTTTTATCTATGATTTATGTACAAGATTGTAGTGCAGTTTTACATACATGTACTGAAAAACTTGAATCACGACTGAAGACTATTGATATAAATCTCATGTACCACTGCAATTACCTTTATTGAAGTAATTGCCTGTAAACCTTTTTGAAGAGTAATTAAACTGTAGATTAGATTTATATATAGGATCAATTTTTTTACAGGTAATTTATGTACTGGAAAACATGAATCATGACAAAAGACTTACATGATATAAATCTATTTCCCATTGCAACCACATTTCTTGAAGAAACTGTAATTGCTTGAAAACAATTTTGAAGGGTTATTGTGCTGTAAATCTGGTTTAAATCGAGTTATTATAGGTAATTTTTATAGTGCAATTTACATCATGTGTAATAACCAGCACTTATATTCCAAATCCAATCCGTCCTTTTAGCATTGTTTATATTTTCAACTTCCGTTTGAGTGTCTGGTTATTCATTGCTTTTGTCTTCACATGGTGGCACTAGGGATGTCATATGACCCAGACCTATAAATATGGCGAAGTTCGCCTTAATTTAATAGTTCGTCTATGGATAGCAAGATCGTTGTAAGCAGCCTTGGATCTGGACGTGTTTAAGTTTTTACCTTTAATTCTTTATACGATTAAAGATATTTTTGACAGAATTTGTCTGAGGATTGATACAGTTTGGCCAGCCCTTACCCATCGAGGATAGAGCAACCTGGGAAAGCCACTCCACTCTACCATTAATTGTTGGGAGTGACGAGCGTAGACATGCTTGCAACAAAGACCTAGGATACTGCACATGTATGTACCGGTACTCAAAAACATGAATCATTACCGAAGACATTAGATAAGAAACTTTATCTTTGCAATTACTTTTTTTGAAGTAATTGCTTGTCAACATTTGCAAAGGGGAATGGTGCTCTAGATCTGCTTAATTATATAGGATGAAGTTTTTTTTATCGGTAATTCGTATTGTGGAAGTTCTATGTACTGTAGGGAATGATCATGTTCGAAAAAGTCTGAGAATTTATGGAATTTCATTTAATTACCTTTATTAAAGTAAATAATTGCAAACATATTGTAAGAAAAACTTTGAACTATATGCATTCTTACAGTTACTATATATTAATAAAGCCAAAATGATAATATTGAAAGTTTGGAAAAATCTCTTGAAAATTTAACTTTTTAAGCCAGACATATTTATTCTTGTACTGGCAAAAATTACAGATCAAGATCCCTTTTCAGTATACCAATTTATACCAATATGAATTTAAAACAACAAGTTTGAAGTTAATTAGATGTGCAAGTGGAAGTCAATGTAGAAAGATCAATAACCAAGTCTACATAATATAGTATTAACTGTCACATTTTCTATCCTGTATGACATAGAAACTCATTGTCAATATTTTAAACTACAAAATACATGGCTTGTCAATATTTTACTATTCAGATATTTTATTCAGTGTCAAATGTCTAGGAATGTCTGGTTTTGTTTGTATCTGGAGCGTATTGACATGCAAGTCATCAATTAGGAATGTCAAGTTGATTGAATTTGCCTGTCATGTCTAGATGGAGCTCTAAATGGTCTGGTAGTGATTTTCAACCTTTGATGATTATTTAAATTCATAATGAGTTATTCATGAAAGAAATGTTTAAAAATAAGTCATTGAAACATCATTTATTGTTGATGAAATGAGCAGACTACAATATACTGACAATGGAAGTCCCTTCAGGTATAACATTACTTCCAAGGCTGAAAAATTTCCAATATTTTTTCCCTCTAAATAAGGTCACCTGAACCTTGAAATGACACTATTAGATTAATAGTAAACAAAATACGTTGTGTAACGCTAAAATTGTAATCCTTATAACATGTTTTAATTAGAATAATAATGCGCACAGTAACAAATAAGAAAAATGACAGCCAATTTTGATTATAAACAACCGATAACTCAAGGACATTGTTGTCTAATGTATGGTGGCACGAGGATGTCTCATTATGATTATAAATTTTTTATTTGCAAATAACAGAATGTTCTTTTGAACACCACACTGATAAACAAATAAAACCATAGTCAGGTCTATTGCCTTCATAGAATGAACAGACAATCCTTAATGTAATCTTTTTTTGCAAATTCCTTTTTATGAACTTTATAAGTTATACACTACATCCATGTATATCTAGACTTCTCTCTGTGACCATTTGCTTACTGAAAGAGATTTTCAACAATTCTTTCTAAAACTTAAGATCTGAGATAAAACTGAGAAAAATGAAACTGCTCTATAGCTGGAGTGCTTCAGTTTCAATCAAAAATGGAATTCGTGTTCAAAATTATGGGTAGATGGTGAAAATTAAAGTGCTTTTTTTAATTTTTACCTGTTTTATGCCAAAGTGGTTGTATCTGAATGATGACCATTGTTTTTTTAAATATCTAAAACAAAATTTGGATTAAAAGGAACAATATAAATAATTGATAAACTGTGTTACTTTGTATATAATTTTGAATTCATTTCTCTTATGAATTTGACAGCTTTCTATTCCTTAACCATTATATCAGATACGTTGTGACTGAGTTATTACAAAGTGATCTCCATAAAATTATTGTCTCACCGCAGCCTCTTACATCCGACCATGTTAAAGTCTTTCTTTATCAAATACTCAGGGGTAAGTATGTTTTGATTTTTCACTGAAGCAGACGGATATAGAACAAAAAAAAGTGATCAAAACAATTTTGCCTTTTCACTTCTGATACATACAGACCAACTTTTTGTTGTATTTGTAATAGTTGCTCATGTTTGTCCATCTTCAAAATGTCAAGCTATTCTTCTATAGCTTCATACTTATACCTTGACAGCAATAGTCACCTTTCATGTATCATGGTATTTGTACATGAAACGATTTGCTAGCGAATACAGTTCATCAGGGGCTTGACAAGAAGTCTTGAGAACCCAATGCCATAACGTTTACAGCAGTTCTGTACAATGTTAAAAGATGATATCTTTTGTTTTTACAGGTTTAAAATACCTCCACTCTGCGAGAGTTTTACATCGAGATATTAAACCAGGCAATTTATTAGTCAATAGTAATTGTTGTTTAAAGGTTAGTACTTATATTCTACTAAGTTTTATATATTAATTACTACTTATATTTTCGGAGAAGGGAGGGTTTGATTCTCTCAAATTATTTCAGGATGCATCATTTCCTTGTTGCCCTGGAAGTCTAGGTGGGTCAGTTTAACCATAGCTAACTTTTGAGGAGTTTCAAAATTCCCTGCATTGCACACTGTATGTTCTTACTTGTATTTAGTGGCCCATTCAGGAGAACAAATTTTCACTTCAAAACTTGTTGTTAAAAGAAAATGAATTGGACTTCTGCTTCAAAATAGGATCTTCATCTGATATCTACTTCTCATCTAATAAATGTTACAAATGAACTTTAAATATTGAATTCATGTAAAACTTGTGGACTAGCATAGTTAAGTAGTGGACAGTAATAAACTAGGTTTGTTATAAGTACTAACATAGTAATCTAGATACCTACTGTTTTATTATTAGAGGTCAGATATTATAAACAATTAGTAGTATGTACTGTAAGTTATGTTGATAATAGTACTAAATGATTATGATCTATGATTCACTACTTTGGTATACTATTTAATATGTAGCAAGGCTATTAATTTCAATTAACATGTTTATTAGAGTTATAATCATCTAAATAGTTTCCTTTACAGATTATAGAGCTCAGTATATATAGCTTACTGTATCACTTGTCAAATTTAAAATCTGTTTTTTCTGTTCTTCTACAATTCAATAAAAATGTAACTTGGTAGTCATACTGTTGTTATTTCCATGGTGTTAACATATTTTCAAAATGATGTCATCGGAATCTAAATAATAAGTCTGAATTTAATTGGTATATTTTTGTTGAATTGTTAGAGAACTTAATGCCAGATTTAAATTATGAAAATGTTATAGATAGCTGAAATTGAGCTCTGTCAGCTGTTAAAGAAATACATTTCAACGACAGTATCCCTTTAAAAACGAAGTCACAAGCCAGCAAATCATGTGTCAAAATTTTACCTACAACAATTGATTGAGTTAAAATGATGTAGGTTATCAATAGAATAACAACTTATTGACTTATAATCAACTAGTCAGATGGTTGTCCTAATTCTGTATTGACCTAGAAACTTGACATACTTTATTCACAATAATCTCTCTTTACATATATTAATAGGTACTAAGATTTTATTAGGGTCAATATTGTTATTTAAGCAAATATCTGCCCACTTGACTGACAATTGTATTATATAAGCATTATTGGGGCTGGGTAAAATAATCAAAATAATCTATTATCGTTGCTTCAAATTTATCATTTTTATAAGTTATTCAAGTTTAATTCAAGTATGACCTTGGTATATGAAGTATTGAAACCAATGATTTGCAGAGAAAAGATAATACATGTATTGATAAGTTTTTATGTATTTATCTAGTGGTAACCTTTGATTGTTCAAGTTGACTAACAGTGTTATATTAGTAGTCTAGTTTATAATAAAACCACTTCAACCTGTTCATTCATGTTCATACAATAAACTAGCCTGAATAATAGTTATAAAACACTGCCAACATAATCTATTATATTATAAGTATTCAAATCTGTTATTATTGGATTAATCAGGGAGTGTGTTTAGCCCCTTTTACACCAGGCCGCTATAAAGCGTTCCGTTCTCGTTCCAGACCAGGCCGCAATAAAATGTGTCCATTTACATAATTGTGAACAGTAAACTCAAGTGGTTTGAGAACAGTTCTTCAGCTGTAGTGTAAATGAAATGCGTTCTCGGCAGGGTTATCTGTGGAACTCTTCTTGAAGAAGTTAAAATTAAACCCGTGATGTAACCAAATTAACAATTTCACTGAATAATGACGAAATTCCCTGGGAAAAGGTGAAGGTCGCTTGTCACATGCACAGTAAAGCATTCTCAGGGTTACCGTTTACATTACACTAATTTGAGACCACTGAGGTGGGCCAGAATTGGAACTGTTCTCAGAACCCTCGACCGTTCACATTACATGGATAAATTTTGTACTGTAAAAGGGGTTTTTGGAGTGGAGGAATCTTCTGATAGATTATATTAGTAAAGATGTGTTGTTTGAATGAGGAAAGCTATTATAGGACAGTCTGGCTTAAGTGTGTTAGAGATGCCTATAGGTAGATATATAGGTTCAATTTTAAATATTTCCCTTTTGAAGATCTGCAGAGGTTATAGTAATTCTGTGAAATAAAACTTGACCATATAATGATATTATACCATTCAAGTCAAGTTATGTTAAATTACTCCTACATGACCAGAATTTTAGCTTACAGATCAGTTAAGAGTCAACATGAATCAAAATAGGAGTTTTTAATGCCCTAAATTGCTGAAATGGTTAATATTGCAAACCTTTTAGACTGGTTGCAGGATTCTTGACTTTAGATACCGTTTCCTACAGTATGTATTTTCAAAGAGTAGAACATGCCATAACTTTGATCAGCTGAAAGGAATATTTCAAGAAGATAATGCTTACTGTAGTTAAACATGAAAAATGATAAGTCACTTATCCTCCAGGGTGAATAGAAAATCTTCTCCAGATGTTACTTGTCTATAAATAGAAGTGGAAGGTTCATTGATCATAGCTGGTGCATTATTTATAGCGCAGGTATTCACATTGACTGCACTTCTTCTATAGACAACTTTTATTGTACTGTCAATATCTCTTCATTCTCACACAGAATTCAGTCTTTCATTGTTTTTCTTTGAAGAATTGAAGTGAACCGGTGTTTAATATCTCAATATTCTCTGCACATTCAATTATCGCAGTGCTATGCACTGCACATTAAGGGTCAATTGAATTAACTTTATTTCAAATATTGCGCCATAAAGCCAAAGAAATATTAAATCAAGTAACAATGGCGAACTAAACAACCTTGAAAATACTGAGCCTAATATTGGATTAAAATTATAACGATTTATTTATTCAAGATTTATACTGAATTTACTTGTACAAAATCAACTTGACTTAGTCTTTTATTTAAATAAGATTGATGAGGTAATGATAGGTTAAAGATTTTCAATACAGTAAATCGAGGCCCTGTGTGCAACAGGCTGTGCACATTAAAGATCCCTCGGCAGTTGGAAATGGAAAAAGAGCAGGCTAATGCTGCTGTCCTGGCAAAATTTCCCTCATTGTACCCTGCATGGCATTGTCTGTCTTCATTAGCCCACATGGTGCTGAAAATAGGACGTAAAACTACATTCATATCATTTATTTCATTTCAGTCTGATTATCAATTAGATAACAATTCACTTTAACTGCCTTGTAGTAAAATTTTTGCAAATATATTTTGTTTGAAATACTAATATATTAAGAGTGAGGAAGTTCATAGAAACACTGGCCTAGGTCACAAATAAAGAAACATAGTTAGTACTTGAATTTGAACATAAAAAACTAAACTAAATCTTCAATAAATACTAGTAAAACTGGTGACAAATAAGATTTTGAATTCCTGGTACCTTTTTGTCTTACTGAGTTTTGAGTACAAATTCAAATGTACTTTAAAAAGAAGTACGGAGCCTACAGACTGTACATTTCTGTATGGGTATATTGATGAAATGCTTCTTATATTTCAGATCTGTGACTTCGGTTTAGCTCGAATAGAAGAACCAGATGAAGCCATACACATGACACAAGAAGTTGTGACCCAATATTACAGAGCACCTGAAATATTAATGGGTGCTAAACATTATGGTTCTGGGGTAGATATATGGTCTGTAGGGTGTATATTTGCTGAATTATTAGGCCGCCGTATCTTATTCCAGGCTCAAAGTCCCATTCAACAGGTAAGCCAAGTTGTTAAATTCTTAATTTAATAAGAGGAATTGATATCATACCATAGGAAAGATAAAGGAATGCTAAGTTCTGTACTTTCAAGAGGTTTGCTAAATCAGCTCAAAATGCATCACTGACTGTATGATTAGAGGCTTGGGTTTAACCATTCCAAAAATGGAATTTGCAAATTAAAAAATCTCAAATAAATTGCATTCAAGCATTCATGATGATAAAATGTATTATAATAATTTGAATTTGTACTATTAGAGTATGTTTTAGAGTGTTTTCATATCTTATGACAATCATTTTGAACACCTGTATGTACAACTATTGATGTTATAAACTCAAGAGCTCAATAAATTCTATAGCTGATTATTATTCAAATCTAAATATGCATGTAAAATATACATAAATTTATGCATGAGGAATTTTGTTGAGTAATTATTGTTTAAAAGAGCTGTATTCAAACGTGAAATTTAATGATTTGAAAGGTTGATATTTTGTAAAAGGTGTGTGAGAATCTAGCACTGAAGTTAAATAATATAGATTGAGTTTTTGTACTAGGTTTTAAATGTCATATATTATAAGCTTTCAATTGAAAATATTATTTTCTAATGTCACTGGCAATAAAAAACAATATATGCATGTACACATCATTAAGCATAATAGCTAGTTTGACATATGAATTTATAGAAAATAATGTAAAATAACATTATTATTATTGGTAATAATATACATTGTGTAAATTTCCATACTTGTAAATCAATCAATGGATTTAGAAATATTACTCAGAGTTTCACGCTATGCGATCTTCAGACAACTGACCTATATAATCCAGCCTGTGTCCCAACTGAAGTTAGACAAGTAGAACTTATTCTCATGTCTACACTTCAAGACGAGTTTGGAATGTTTGTTTCAAGAAGCGTTGTTCACTAACTTTGCCCATAAACTAAAAGTCTAATTTTTGAAAGTTAACCTCAAAAATTATTTTGATTTCTTATCCAAAATAAATAATAAGATTTCTACAATGTATGTGTTTCATGTTATCAAAATAGGTTTTAAGCATGAAAACTGGAAAAATATTCTGTTTTGTAACCTTTGTTCAAATCATAGCTCTGATAACTATCAGTCATGATAAATACTCCATAATTGCCACCAACATATAAGGGCAAAGACTATTCTGTGATTTTTTTTTCTCCATAATTTGACTTAGTTGACACATGGTACTAATCAATATTTTGTCTGAAAAAGGAAACTATTTAATAATGGAAAAAGGAAAATCTGTGCCTTTATTAGTTTTTGTCAGGGATTTGACTGTAGTCAGCTGTATCCAGCAAGCAATAAATTAGTTGACACGATTTGCTGGGAACAATGAGTCAACTTAATGATATGGGGACAAAGACAGGCATCATATAGCTCCCTGCTCTCAGTCTTCTATCAATCAATTATGTTTAGATGTTACCATGGAAACTCAGCATTAATAGGTCAAAGGTCAGCAAAGTCAAAATGATTGGGATTTTGTCAGTCTTTGTTTAATTGTCCCTGGGGAAACTGGTTTAATGTGGGGTGAAGATATTACTGAGGTTGATGTCAATTAGTCCAGGACTAGGTCTGATATGTTTAATCTCCTATTCAAGAGATGGCAGGTGCATTCTAGATTACTGTACACTACACCATAGCTTTAAGAGATATTTCATCTTCATTTGATTAGGCCTACAATATTAATTTTGCTTTCAAGTGTAAATTTTATTTCAAAATGTTGTTAATCGGCTCTATCAAAAAGGCATTGAAAAAATAACAAATTTTTTGTGCAAATTTCATGTTTTTTCTTTTTCCAAATCAGTTCTTTTACATTCTTATTGTAAAACAGTGAAAAAAATTAACATCATCAATGCCCTGATAACTCATTTCAAATTTTGATCCTGCTTGATGGAATTTAACAATGAAAGTCACTGTCATAAATGAAGTCAATAAACTTGAATTCCAAAGTGGGAAATTGAATTAAACCAAGAATTATCTCAGACATCTTGACCTCCTACAGACAGATTTGTTTTAAACTAGGTTAATATGACTTATCAGTTATTGACCCAAACATGTGGGAATTACACAAATTCGGTGACAGTCCTTTTCACACTTTCAGAGACAATTGGGTTTGAATTTGAAGGCAAATAATCATCTGATTCTTAGTGAAATTTCAGATTGCGTTATCGCATTCAGAAATCGAAAATTTGAGATCTTTACCAGATAAAACAGAAAAGAAAGAAAGAAACAGTATGTTACAAGGATATAAAAATAAAAATCTGTATAAGCAAGACAATTTTATCAATCAAAAATCTCGTTCTAAAAAATGGAAAAATCAGGAGTAAAAGTTGTTCAGCAGTGGACTGCTTCAAAGAAAAGCAACATAAGGCGTCGCAAAAAATGCAAAAAAAGTTTTAGTTCATCTAAAAAAAAAGTGTATCTGGAGCCAAAGCAATTATGCAATTTTCTCTTGTATATTTCAAAAATAATTTCCACACACATACAATTTGGGCTTGTAATACAGTCACCCTAATATTAGACAGAACAAATACATAATGTTTTGCAACAGTTTCTTACCAAAAAGTATTATTATATTTAGAATGTTAAAATCTAAGTTAATTGTTATTTTGATTTCTGCTACAGAATGTTATCTTTGTTATTATTCATAATATTTATATAAGGCTTGTTACTACTTTTTAAAACTAAATTCAATGGAAAACTTGTTTGATAAAAGCTTTCTTTAAAAACTCTTTGTGTTGTTTTCTATATGAAACAACAGCAGAAGTCTCAGAAGTTATACCTGCAGGGCTTTCATTCCATTAACAATTGGTCTCAAATGGAGAATTTTGTGACAGGCTAGTTGACATTGTTGTCAAGACAATTTGTACTGTAATTAAAATATGAAGATTTAATACCATTAAAGACTTATATCTTAAAACAAAACAATTTGGAGTATTGAAACTAGGGCTGGATAAAATAATCGATAATCTTCGCTAGGAATTCATAATTTCGATTATCGATTATCGATCATCAAAATACATAATTGTTTAAATGTTATATTTTCTCCTGTGTACCCGCTGACAAGTTATAATTTCTTGCAGTCTTTCAGCGCATGATTTACTTACATTAAAGTATAATAACCAATCAAAGCAATAATATTATATTTTATTTGTATGACACAAAAATAACCCATGGAATTACAAATATGAACATGATTTTTATTAAGTATTCAGATGATGTCTCACTTAAAATTTATCGGTACCTAGCTTGTCGTCGATAATCGATCTCAATTTAGTAATCGATACCCAGCCCTAATTGAAATATAAGTTAGATAGAATAATTACAAATTTTATGCAAATTGTAATAACAGTTTCAAAATAGAACTGGATATTCTAAAATTGACTGAGGATTCTTAGAAAAAATTAAATTTTGCAAATTTTTATTTGATACATAAAGAAAAAAATATTTGCTGAAATTTTCTTTTATATATTGAGTGATAATTGATAGCTATTTTAAGAAATTAAAATTTTCTTAATGATAGTATTTTTAGCCACACTAAGTCTTTCTAAGCTATCATGTCTATTTTGATATTCCAATTCATGTAATATAATGGTAAAAGTAATCATTAAAATGTAAGAGGACAGTTCATCATTAAAGAGATTGTAAAGAGGTTTTCTAAGTTTTTTTATGTGTATCTAGGACACTAATAGCATCAATTTGCACAATACCAACTTTCAATCAGACATCTTTGATTCCTACTATTCCACAAAAGAAAAGTGTTTGGTGACATCACTAATTGCAAAATATGGTTGTATCACATAAGGTCTTCGATAAGTGATTTCACTTAGTTTTAGACTACCAAAACAACAGACATTGTACAATGAAAATTGGTGCCATAAGTGTTCTGGATACACATAAAAAAAAATAGAAAACCTCTTTACAATCCCTTTAATTATAATTAGTATGAGGGTAGATAGCGTGATGAACATTAGTTTTAACAGCTGATGATAATAATAGACAGGTCGTAGGATCTATTGTTATCATGTAGCTAGTTAACAGCCCTCACATCTGTTAATATTACACTGCCCTTTTACAGCAATTTTTTATATTAAAACTGATCTCCTATTACTGACAACATATCCTTTGATCTTTTCAATATATTTGAAACTCACAAAATTAATAGAACAACATGACTTTTGGACTATCTCAAATATAAATATTTGGATTAAAAATAAAATTAATATTAAGAAACTATTTATGAAATTATTTTTGTTAAAGATGGGTTCCCTTAATTTCATTTATGAAAATGAAAATGCTAATACTGATATGAATAGAAAGTAGAGGTGTTCTTATCACTTGAAAAAATACTAGTTTGTCTCACATGTCCATAATCAATTCACAATTAAATTAGGGAATTACCAGTAAAATGGCAATGAGTGACTGATCAAGATAGGTCAAAAAGTATACATGGACATTTATAATTGGTTAAGAGTCTTAATTATATGCATTAAGAACATAATGATATGATTAAGAATACATGATAATTCATTAGAAACACCAATTAATCAAATAGTTTGCTTAATTTGACATTGAAATGAAACCCATCTTTAAACAAATACTGCATATTATTGGAAAAGCATTTTCTAAAGTATTTGAAATGAAATTTGATTCTTTAAATAAATTTATTTGATGTCCCTTATGATCAAAGACATTGATTGAGTGCAATCCCTTTTTAATCAAAACAGTTTTTTCATCAGATATTGAATTAATGAAGAATATTCTGTTTGTGAAAGTCTGTTTGTATCAAAGGGTGGTGTATGTCTATCAAAGGCACTGTTCAGTATCTATTTGCAATATTCTAATTTATTGTCTGATGTGATTGGGTTTGATAACAGTAATAATAGTTTATCGAGTTGGACAAAAGGTCAAAGGCTAGAAAACCTTTTTTGAATTCTCGTCAAGAGCTCGCATAAGCGTCCCATTGACATTGGGACAGTACATGGAAGCCCCGTCTGATATAGGCAAAGCACCTTAAATTCCTTGATAATTTGAAATTGAAAAAGAGTAAACATATGGTAATGGTGCTGTCCTGGAAAAATTTCACATACTACCCACTACATGGCATTTCCAGTCTTCATTAATACATTAGATGAAGAAAAGTTAGATGTAAATCTCTTTGTCATAATCGGATTTTGCCAAATAAAAACTAGGAAATTGATTTTTTTTTTCATTTCAGCTTGATCTCATCACCGATTTATTAGGAACACCAGCACCACATGATATGAAAACAGCATGTGAAGGTGCCAAGGCTCATATACTACGTCAACCACATAAACATCCCTCATTAGCTGCATTATATAGTTTATCTAATCAAGCCACACATGAAGCTGTACATTTATTATGTAGAATGCTTGTATTTGATCCTGTGAGTATATCTTTTTTGAAAATTTCTTCCATGGGCAGTAATTGCGTTTCAAAGAAAAAACTGAACTCTCTTGAAAATGCGTGGATAAATAGCTGTGCTTTTATATGAACACAAGCATATATTATGATATAACCGACTTCTTACCACATGTTTTAACACAGTTACATGAGTTATCTTAAGATGAAAATAACGCTCATTTTCCACTTTTGATGACTTGGGTTGAAACAATGATCCTAATTAATAAATAGTGATAAATGGCTTAGATGATAACTGTAAAGCTTTATTTCTTCTAAAAGATTTTTGATGCAGTAAAACTTCGAATAACAGTCCAAAATCAAAAACAAAGTCATTGTTCCAACCTCTTATTCTGCTGCCTCTAACTGCGGTAGAAACAGTACACTTGATTTCAATGGCTTTGTGTAAATTTCATATACTGATAATTAAAAACACATCATTGTATTTGCTACATTGTATGTAATCTCTTTTGTTGTCTTGGTCTGTTAAAGCTAGAATTATGCCAGTTATCTAATATTGCCTGCTATGAAACAAAAATTTATAGATTTTTTTCATTCCAACAAAAAAGATAGTGAGGATTTATGCTAATGAAATTAGTATATTTGGTTTAAATGATAAAGATTAATATTTATTAAAATCTCCAAGTATTGTTTGTAGCAGACGTCTAAATCACCTTGTGAAATGTATTGTGTGTATAGAATCTTGATTCAGTCAGTGTAATTTACGAGATTAGGGTTGAGTTATGACTCAGACAGATTTAGCTTTGATGGATTTTGTACTAGGGGAAAAATAAATCGTGAAAATTATAAAGAAATGTGTCCCCAATAGCAGGTGCTTTGGCTCGATTTATTTCAGAAAATGCGTCATGATTTATTCTCTGCTAAATTTTGTACAAATACTTTGAATACTGATTAGTGAATTATAACAAAATACCTAAACAACTAAATTTTAATAGGTCAATTGGTTATATTTCCAAACAAATGAAAAATATTATATACATAGGTCCATACTATTTAACATGTGAAAATAGTTTAAGCAATAAACAAAGAACAAAAGACCAAAACTTGTTTGCTCTGAGCCTTATATTTAATTGGCAGGATCTTTGGAACCTATATTCTTAATTCCATCTCTCCTTTCATGTTTTTATAAGCTCTTTATGATAGCAATGGCTGTTCTAATTTCATGCTTTTTATGATAACAATGTCTACTCTATTTTGAAGCTCTTGAGCAATGTCTGCTCAATTATTTAGCTCTATATGATAGCAATGTCTGCTCTATTATTAAGCTCTTTATGATAACAATGTCTGCTCTATCATTAAACTTTATATGATAGCAATGTCTGCTCAGTTATTAAGCTCTATATGATAGCAATGTCTGCTCTATTAGTTACCTCTTTATGATAATGTCTGCTCTATTTTTAAGCTCTATTTGATAGCAATGTCTGCTCTATTATTAAGCTCTATTTGATAGCAATGTCAGCTCTATTTTTAGGCTTTATATAATAGCAATGTTTGAGCACTCTATTAAGCTCTATATGATAGCAATGTCGGCTCTATTATTAAGCTCAATTTGATAGCAATGTCTGCTCTATTTTTAAGCTGTATATGATAGCAATTTCTGCTCTATTATTAAGCTCTATATGATAGCAATGTCTGCTCTATTATTAAGATCTATATGATAGTAATGTCTGCTCTATTATTAAGATCTATATGATAACAATGTCTGCTCTATTATTAAGATCTTTATAATAGCAATGTCTGCTCTATTATTAAGATCTTTATGATAGCAATGTCTGCTCTATTATTAAGATCTATATGATAGCAATGTCTGCTCTATTATTAAGATCTTTATGATAGCAATGTCTGCTCTATTATTAAGATCTTTATGATAGCAATGTCTGCTCTATTATTAAGATCTTTATGATAACAATGTCGGCTCTATTATTAAGATCTATATGATAACAATGTCTGCTCTATTATTAAGATCTATATGATAACAATGTCTGCTCTATTATTAAGATCTATATGATAACAATGTCGGCTCTATTATTAAGATCTATATGATAACAATGTCGGCTCTATTATTAAGATCTATATGATAACAATGTCGGCTCTATTATTAAGATCTATATGATAGCAATGTCTGCTCTATTATTAAGATCTATATGATAGCAATGTCTGCTCTATTTTTCAGGATAAAAGAATTAGTGCAAGTGATGCATTAGCTCATCCATTTTTAGATGAAGGTAGATTAAGATATCATTCATGTATGTGTAAATGTTGTACAAACTCTGCCAATGGCCGACATTATAATACCAGTGAATTTGACCCTGTTTGTAACCAACCATTTAGTTATGCATTTGAGGATGAATTAACCTCAGTGTCAAAAGTCAAAGGTGAGTTTGTTAATAATTTCTGTGTTTTTGAACTGAATGCTTCATAATTAATGTTAAAGAGATTGTAAAGAGATTTTTAGATTTTTATGTGGATTGGGGGGAAACTGAAGAAAAGTGCAACAATTTTTAGTCTGACGTCTGTGGTTCTTACATTTTTCCAAAACTAAGCATTTTATGACATCACTATTGTAAAAACTGCTATAGGGCTTCCTGGGATAGCGACATTTTAAAATGCTTAGTTTTAGTAGAATTACAAGAACCACAGACGTCTAATTGACCCTAGCTGTATAGTGTATTTTTTTAATGGCGCTTCCTTTGATATTTAAAATCAATTGTATCTGTAAGAACATTCAGAGCCAGAACTTCGCAGGTCAGTGGAGATAACCAGACAAACACAGTTACAGATTGGGAACCCTGTTTTGAGACAAATCCCTTTTGTATTAATAAAGTTTATTTGATATATATTTTTTCTCTTCTTTCAGAAAAACTCCACAAATTCATCTCTGAGCAGCAACAAAAAAATAAACGAGTGCCTCTTTGTTTAAATCCAAATTCCCTCTCCTTTAAAACGTTCCAGAAGTAAGTTGGAAGCCGAATGTTGAACAGGTCTTGTATCTTTTCTACTTGGCAACTCTTTCATTCCTTCATTTTCATCTTTTATTTTTATCAGCAAACTTTTTTAGTTGTTTCATCCTAATGTCATTTTACAGAAGTACTAAATTAACATTTAGAAACAGAGTGCTCTCTGAGAATGACAGCAGAAGAGTAGGACGTAAAACTCCATTTCATTTCTAACAATGTCAAAATGCCTTAATTTTGTCTGAAAAACAAAAGTTCTTCTTAAAACTATCAATGCTGCTTTAAAACTGATATTTTATGTGACATAAACATTATCAGTAAAATTTGATTTATTTGCAATTTATAAGAAAACGGTTGTGAACATTTCTAAACTAGTTCTGTAGACAGCTGAAATCTTTCTCACTAACATAACTGATAGTTGTAGAGCTTTATAGATGGTTAGCGCACATCTTCCATCCCTGACAATATTATTTGAGATATCATCACATGTTAACCTATTATTTTATGCATGCAACTATTCATTTCATAATGTTTATTTTCATGGTTTTGGATTTTCTTTGAATAATCATTAACTTCAACAAAAATTCAAGTCACAAGTTCGGTATTAACATGTAAACGACAATTAGAAATTGGCATACGTCAAAACATAAGAAAAGTCAAACATATACTCTTTAAAAGGAGAAAGCTCAATTTCAGCTCAATTCTAGTTCACTTACAATCAAAAAAATATAAGTAGAAACTAAAGTCTGATTTTAACTCTGAAAGAGTTACAGTGAATATTTCGTTTTCGACGCTCATCAGGACTCTATGATTTCTATAGCTTAGTCAACATTTTTATAAAGTTATGCTTGGCTATCAAATTGTAAACATGCTTTTTGCTGTTTAAATTCAAATTATAAAATCTGTTTCTATTATTTCAGTGTTAAAGGTCGAAAATCAACACGAAATCATTCACAACAGGGTTCTAGTACTTCCAATAAATCAACCACTAGAGGATCAAATTTAGCTTATGGTTGTTAGAACGATTGTTTTTATAAAACTGACACCACGAAACCACGAGATTGTGTGATAACTGACTAAATGTAGTGATTTGTAGTGACTTATTTAATTCAAAGCGTGAAATTTTAAACAGTCGGTGTAATTCAGAAATTGTGGCAGCATTTACTACGCAATAGTAGAAAAAAAAGTAATGTGTGATTTGATTGGCTTTCTTGATGATGATGTCATCAGAGCAGATTCAAATATTTTCAATGAAATGTGCTATAACTTCAGTTGTGAAAATTCAAAATGGCTGCCAGAATACATGAATTGAAATCAAGAAACGTCCACTATTATTATAATTATGAAACCAGAGAGAGTTTGTGAGATTTTAAGGACAGAAGAATTCAGTAAATGAAGCAGATGGCCATTATGATGGTTTTGTGAACTCGGTAATCAGTGACTGTATTGGTGACTATTGTAAATATCTGGATTGTTTAGGGTAGAAATGTGTACAGTGTATGTTGTAGAATATATCAGATGGGACAAGTTGGCTAGTGGAATTATTTGCAAGTGTTGATAAAAAAATCAAGACACCTTTATTTAGATTTGAAATATTTGATATTATTTTTGGTTGTGTTGAATTCTTTTTGAAAGTTGAAATTTCAAAATTGTTGAACAGAATACTCAAAAAATTGCTTGATCTTTTCAAAACATTTGCATGAAAATCCAAAGACCAACAGATTGAAGATATCTGTATTGTTGATATTTTAATTAAGTAGGTTCTTGATTTGTTTTATTTCAGCTGTATAGTGGATTGTTTGTTTACTAGTATTGTAGATATTTATTATTTACTTGGGATGTATCGGGTATGCGTAGTAGACAAAAAATATTAAATTTTACCTAAAAAAAAAAATCTTGCAAAAACGAAATAATAGCTCAAGTGATTTATTGCAACAAAATCTTGAAGATCCTAGCTCAATATATTTTGTAACATGCAAGCAAACATTTAATACTGGTAATAGAAAATATTTCTCACTAAGTGCATTTTTTGTAGCGAATTTGCATCATTAAAACAGGGTTATTATTAGAGTAAAGTCTTGCCCCAATTTGAATTGCTTATTAACATTTGGCTGAATGTTAAATAAGGTCACATTGATAATAAGTAGAATGGTATATGATAGTGTAAGCTAGTATTTATGGTATAATGAGAGAGAAATGCTAAATGTTGTATGTGTATGTATGAATAGTGTATATATATAAGATAGTCTATTTAAAATTAGACCACACTTTCGTTCAGTTTTTTGTTAGCTTTGATTTTTACTAGTCACTTCATTTAGGATATAAAGACTGCTCTTGTTTCTTTATATCAATAACTTTTGATCTAACCTTATGATCTCTGCTTTAACCAATCGAATTATACTGGGCAAATTCAAAACAACCAATCAAAAAGCCTGTTTCAAAAATGCTCAGTTTCAGTGGACAAAATAATGCTTTTCAGATTAGCCCTTTTGTTCCAGTCACATACTCCCAGCTTTTGAGAGAGAAGAAATTTGATTGGCTGGTGGTGATATCTAACATATGAATTCTATATCGCAGTCTTTAGACCCCTAATGGATTGCCTACAATAAAAACAAATACTTTCTAAAACAGAACTAAAGTTTGGTCTAATTTTAATTTGACTGTATATGATAACCAACCTATATAGGTGTTGTATGTATAAAGAATCATCCTACTTTCCCCTATCAATGCAAGCACCATAATGTTGCACCTATGCATTGTCTTTTATAATGTACATAGAAAATTTTGGGATCAAATCTTAAACCACCACACAATGTGAGAAATTGAAGGCGAATTTTCCACCATTTTTAATCATTTTTTAAAGACTAATTTATTAGATGTAAAAGGTGACATGAATGTAATGAAGTATGGTTGACTGCTGTTAGAATAATCTACTAGTCAAAACACTAACTTAACACTTAAAATTCATTAACAATACACTAGATCTCCTCAAGAGTTAGGTCTTGTCACCAACTAAATATTTGGTGATCTCAAAGTCAGGTGATTGTCAACTCATTGAATAGGTGATCAAAACCAGACTGTCTTAACTCACAGGAAGGACTATCAAAGCTATCTTATCACTAACTTTAATCTATGTGATCTCAAACTGTTCTGTGATTCTAGAATAGGTGATCACCAACACTAGGCTAGGTCCCAACTTTTTGATAGGTGATCTCAATATCGAATTTAGGTAACCTTTGACCAGGTCATCCTTCAGGTGATGATTTAATTATAAACTTTGAATAGGCAATCACTAAGATTAGGCCATGTCCTATCTAACTATGTGAATTGAGACTATAAATTTGGATTTATATAAATTTTATACTTGAGAATAGCTTTGGTGTTTTAAGGTACAATTTTATAAACAACTATCGAATTGGTGAAGAATTTTCTCAAAAATTAAAAACAGCAAAAATGTCAATTTAGTAACAAATTGAATTGAATTATGGAATCGAGAACCTATATTTTGACCTATTTGTTTTGTTAGGTGTACTTCATGAGTTTTCGATACTGAAAATCAAATTTGACAATATAAAAGAATGGCTAATAGGTCATGAGAATTTAAAACACAATTTGAATACAAGAAAAACATGGTGCTATTAGAATAGAAAAACTATTTTCATCATTAAAAACAATTGGATTGTAAATATTTCACTACATGTGTACGAATGTTGTATTTTTTTCTCTGTCAATTTCAAGAACCAATATTACTGATTTCCCTAATTCATCATGCATTAACTGGTATAAAAACTTGTGAAAATGAATTTTGTTTGCTATTTAATTTAAAGGACCATGCTTGCCAACACTAGAAGTTGTATATGTAGTAGATGTCCGAAACAATATATATTACGTGTGTATTTTTGAATGTTTTTTAAGCTGGTGAATTTGAAGTGGGTTTTTTTGATGCTGTATATTATCATATATTATAATATACCACAATATATATTTGTGCAATTTTAATTCTCTTATATTCATTAGTCTTGTTGGCATTATTTATACACTTAATATTTCAATTTTTTGCTAGTTTTTGCAAAATTTTAAAAATTTTGGCCTCTTCAATTTTGTTTTACTGAAATGTGGATTTTTTTACTTTTGAACTTTTCTATTTTATTTGCTCTGATAACACAAATTTATATAGTTTGAAATTTTCATGATTTGAGGAATTCACAGCTCAAAATTTCTTGAAAATTCATGACAGGATATTTTCATGGTTTGAAAATTCACGGCTGAATATTTTCATGGCTTGAAACTTCATGGCATGAAAATTCATGGCTGGATATTTTCATGGATTGAAACTTCATTGCTGGATATTTTCATGGCTTGAAACTTCATGACTGAATATTTTCATGGCATGAAAATTCATGGCTGGATATTTTCATGGATTTAAACTTCATTGCTGGATATTTTCATGGCTTGAAACTTCATGACTGAATATTTTCATGGCATGAAAATTCATAGCTCGAATTTTTATAGCTGGATATTTTCATAGTCTGATTTCTAAGTTTATTTTGTTGATGTTGACTTCTTATCTGTATTATGGCCAAGCATAATGGAAAACAAAATATGTTAAAATGATTAAGTTGAAGATATGAGTATTATCAAACACATTAAGTTTATAATTCAAGAAAGTTTCCAAGTCAGATTTCACACTTCTGTGGTGTAAGGGAGATAATTCAGAAAGGGAGGTAACTCTTGAGAATTATTTAGTATAAAGCTGTATATTTTTGTGTCATTCCAATGGAAGTATTAGTCAATGTATATAATTTGTGGGTAAATGTGACTTGTGTATAAATATATCTATTTTTAAGGGTTTGATTGGTTGGCCTTCCCTCCTTGCTGATAATAATGAAATTCGCTTGTATCACTTGAGCATTTATTCATTAAAATTAAAAGGAGGAGAAAAGGGAAATTGATCAGACCACAGTAAAGTCTTGTAGTTGTCTGTTAGACAAGACTTATTTCTAACTCTGCACCTAGTCCTTATTATTGTGGTATTTCAATTTAAAACAAAGTATCATTTCCTTCTCAATAACTCATTTTAATTTACAATTTCAGTCTATTGCTAAAAATATATTCTAATTTGCCACTTTCAAAAAAAGTGTATTATTTGATTAAAAATGTTAAGCTTTTGATGAAAAAAATAATTGTCAAAAACTAAGGTTAAAAAATGTTTAATTTAGCATCCTCTTTGCCATTCTCTTTAAATTGTAATTTACTGTTTGAAAACAAAAGTCTAAGAAAAATTAGCTATAAAGGCAAAAAATAAGCTTTAGTATGTTTCCCTGCATTTTGAAATAAATCTGGGAAGTTTAAAAGAAATAATATTGTGACTATCTACCTCTGCTTAATAACTGTATTTATATTATTATTATTATTACTACCTATCTTTGACTGTATATTGTATAGTATTTTATTACAAACTGTCCCCCATCCCCCAGGTTTCAAAATAGTAGTCAAATACTGTTAGTATCTTAGTTTATATTAATATGCTCAACTTAATAAACATGTATGTACTAAATATTAAACAATAAATTGGAGGAAAATTTCAGTAATATTATAACAAATGAAAGAGCACATATTTTATTTCATATGGAAATCTAAGATAATTTTCTGGAACATGTGAAATTTTGAAAATTTCTTTTTGAACATGTAAATGAAGAAAATGATCTAGATATGAAAATTATTCTTTTGAACATGTGAAAATTAGAAAATCTTGTTTTGAACGTGTGAAAGTTGGAAAATCTTTTATTGAACATGTTAAAATTAGAAAAATCTTTTATTGAACATGTGAAAATTTGAAAAATCTTTTATTGAACATGTGAAAATTTGAAAATCTTTAATTAAACATGTGAAAAATTAGAAAATATTTTATTGAACATGTGAAAATTAGAAAAATCTTTTATTGAACATGAGAAAATTTGAAAATCTTCAATTAAACGTGGAAAATTAGAAAATATTTTATTGAACATGTGAAAAATAGAAAAATCTTTTATTGAACATGAGAAAATTTGAAAATCTTTTATTGAACATGTGAAAGTTAGAAAATCATTTATTGAACAAATGAAAATTAGAAAATATTTTATTGAACATGTGAAAATTAGTAAATCTTTTAGTGAACATGTGAAAATTAGAAATCTTTTATTGAACATGTAAAAATTAGAAAAATCTTTTATTGAACATGTGAAATTAGAAAAACTTTCGTTTAACATCATCTATTGAACATGTCAACATGTGATAGTAGAATTCTTTTGAACAATCATTGGTGTGTTTTTGGAACTTGAATGATAATAATGAAATAAAATAATGAATTTGAAAGAAGCCTTTCATTAAATTATGAAATGAATTAGAAAATAATAATTGTATTTCATCAATATTTAATGTATTAGTTCTAGGTAAAAGGTTGTACAAGAATGAATGAAAAGGATCTATCCTTTAAATTGTCTGTTTTTTTGTTTTTGTTTCAAATGTAGTTAGTTTACCTCATTTTGTGTGTACAAATTTCTCATTGTAATCATCTTATTTCATGCTCAAATAAAAAAACATCCTAACTCAGTTATTTGAGTGAAAATATCAACTTTGTAGACAATTATTACTATTATTATGTACACTTTACTTTGCAATAAAATGATAAATAAAAAACATTTGAAAACATACATAAACTATTTTTCTTGGTGCAATTGGGTACTGTTTTACATACATGTCCTTTTCTCAGCAGTTTCCCAAGAACATTTAATGTCTTAGTCCCCAATTTTTAAAAAGCACATTGTTTGCCCTGTTATGCATTGACACTATTGCTGAAAGGATTTACACAACCCTTATGTCTGACCAACAGGATGAATTCCTCATACTTATATTTGCTTGGTTTACTATGGTTAAGATGCTAGCGCTTTACAGAAACTTCCAGAGGATTGACTAATGATAAGGCCTATCTGATATAAATTTTTAAAATCTCTGTATCAAATCGGAACCCAAATTGACGTCTTTAAACCAGCTTCTTATTGGTTTGGTGGAATTGCTCGGATACTTGTTTTGATGATAGAGTACTGCAGATTCACAAGAAGGAAGTGATCAATGCCGTGGAATTGTTTCGATTAAAGGGAGGTATATACAGTATATAACAGAACACAATAAATTAAAATACACTACTAAATGGTAGGGAGCTTTTTCATATCTCCAACACCAAAGTATGGCATATTTCACTAAATAACTACTGAAAAAGTCTAGAAAAAAAAATGTTAGTTTTCAAACATATTTAATTAATATTCAATCTTTGCACGTGTTAATAAATCAACAGAAGGCTGGCGTGTATACTTTTTACAATGTATACATTTTTAGCAATGTGGACAACCCAAAAGGTAATTGAAGTTGACAAACTCAGTCAAAAAGTGGCATCAGGTGTTCAATTAAGGTGAACATACCCTGCCTTCTTTGGCTCACACGTCACAGTACTTGACTTATGAAAAAAGCGTCAAAATATGTTTGCTTGTTAACGTGATAGAAACTAAACTTTTCATCCGAATTGGTGTGATCATTAAATAATGATGATATCTTAGACAAGATCGAATTTGACGATCTTTCGAGGAAAAACGCATGATAGAGGTGATAGTTAAGGTCAGAATTTTTATTAAATTTTGTCTGTTTGATTAAATCAACACTATCTTGGACAAATTAGTTTTTTGGTATGATTTGACACAGATTGGTGACTTCCCTTGATATAATGAAAATGTATCAAGATAGTGGGCTATTTTGCTAGGCAGCCACTTGTTTTAGATGAAATATAGTTTGTATTGTAAATTTAATATACTGTATCGTAATTATTAATTATAAGCAAATTGCATTGTTTTGTATTCTTATATAGGCGTATTGTATTGTATTATTATCGCACCAGAGCATTCTTATCCTGTGTCGTGTCTTGTATTGCATTGAATTCGTTATTTGTATTTGTATTGTATTGCATTGTATTGCATTGCATTGCATTGCATTGCATTGCATTGCATTGCATTGCATTGCATTGTATTGTATTGTATTGTATTGTATTGTATTGTATTGTATTGTATTGTATTGCGTTTTTGTATTGTATTGCATTGTATTTGCTAGAAATGTAATTGTGGGCTACTGCAATTCCTCAAAGACTAGATGACAAACTTTAGTTATGTAAAAAGTCATCATACATTATTGATAACATTTTGCCTGAGTTATCTAAAGATTGTCAGTTAATGGCTAATTGGTTTGATTCAGATACGTTTCCAACGTGTTACTTTACATCAAAGACTACTCCTGTTACTTCCAGTTCATTATTAAACTAACATTCAAATAACGTTTAAGTTTAATGTGTGTTTAATATCAAACAATTTATTTTTGGCATTTTGAAGATTTTCTTTCTTTGTATAAAATTAGAAAGCATTGCAATTGGTTTAATTGAATGATAAGTATGTGATTGTGTAAGCTAATATAATACATACAGGCATGCATACTTACATAATAAATAATATATTTGACTTATCCACTGTGACTAGTTGACTCTCTTGAAGAATTCCGAATTAATTACTGTAATATCTTTGAAGATAAAAGAGATAAATTTTCACTAAAAGGAATGTATAAATACAGAGAGTTTAAGTCCCCACAATATGTCGCATCTAAAAGAAAGTTACCTTCATTTGATTCCAGGTCGGAGAGGCAGAATCCTTTGTAAATACGTAGCCATACTTGCTGCCGATCGTGCACCTTAAAGATACCTCCACATTTAAGAGAGTTTTGGTGGCAAAATTTCTTCCAATGCACACAGCATGGTGTTGAATATCCCCATTTTGTACATTATAGGGTTAAAATAAGTTCGTTCATTTATTTATTCTTTGCCATTCGCATCATAAAAACACATTCCCTATAATAACTTCAATGAAAGTTAACGTCGCATCAATAAATGAAAAACTATTTATTTGAATAAACAAAAACAATCTTTTAACAATCAAGAAAGTTTATATATTAACAATGATAATAGGTAGTAAAAATCTGTCTATCACAATACAATAATAACCCAACAAAAACTTCACTTTTAAAAAATCTTACCATATCGTTTAACAATTATTAAACGGGGCTAAAGGTCACATTTAGCTACATTATTGACCCGAATTTAAAGATACCCGGGTTGTCACGATAGCAACGTCTACTTGGGCACAATCTTTACCCATTAAGACACACGCATAAGTCAAGCTGTCGACTATCGTTACACTATTTTGGAATCTATCATGGGTTATACTAAGAACATCATAGAGTTATATAGAGCATCCCGGAGTCATAAATAGAACATCCCAGAGTTATATAATATAGAACATCCTAGAGTTATATATAGAACATCATAGAGTTATATACATATAATATCCTAGAATAGAGATAGAACATTCCAGAATTATATAGAACATCATATTCCTATGGAACATTGTAAAGTTATATAGAACATTCTAGAGTTATATAATACAGAACATCCTAGAGTTGTTTATAGAACATCCTAGAGTCAACTATAAAACATATTAGATATACACATCTGAAATTATATATAAAACATTCTAGAGTAATATAGGACTCATTGAGTTAAATGTAGGAGCCGATGGACGACAGCTTGACAAACTGGTCTGGAATGGTCAGGATGGTTCGATACTTAATATACTAATATACTTAAGCATCAATTTCCAATGATATCACATAATAATACACCTATGTTGTCCTTTTGAAATCACGTGTATTTTCTCTTATTTGACTGGTCAGACCCATTGATTTAAGGTTATTGATATGCACATTACACTCGAAGCAGTTTTTAGCCACTCTACACTTTTTTTTCAACAATTTGGTCATTTGGTCATTCAAGACTTTTTATCCGATAGGTTTGTAACCGCATCACCGTTTGCATTCTGTGGAGCAGTTTGGCTAACAAACAACCTTTTTAATTTCGATTCAGTTGTCTCCACGGCCCCTGGTAGAGGAATTTCAGAGTTAGCAGTTCCATCTGATGTATCTATCAATGGAATATTTGACAATGTTCTCGAGGTAACTGTACCCGGTTTATCCTCACTGTCATCCGTATTGTTGCTTTTTGGAGTCGGATTTGGAATAGGGGTGTTGGTTGCAGATCTGGGAAGCTGACCATTGACAGAGTCCTCCAAGTCCAGAACAACTCCAACTCTGGGACCTTTTCCATTGACCAGAATTCTCTGTTGAATAGTGTTCCTTCGTACCATGGTCATACCTTTACGCCAGTGATTGGCCACGTTCTGACGTCGACGACGCTCTTTTAATTTTGCGCGAGACTGCGCGTGGGTGTAATATACAGTGAAGTTATTGACGATAACAGGAACTGACAGAGCAATGACCAGTACCCCACTGATAGCACACAAGCCACCCACAATATAGCCCAGTCCAGATTTAGGGTATATATCACCATACCCTACCGTAGTCATTGTAATCAACGCCCACCAGAAAGCTAGAGGAATGTGCTCAAAGTCACTTTCAATGTCCGTGAACATTTCCATATAATATTCCAAACAAGCGAATATGATAATCCCAATAATCACAATAAAAACAAGCAGTAACAACTCCTTGGCACTGGCTCGCATGGTATAAACCAAAATCTTCAATGCTAAAAAATGTTTCATTAACACAAAAATTCTAAAAATACGCAGAACTCTGGATGCCAACAAGATTCTTATGAATTCAAAAATCCGAACTGGGTCACTATGTGTAAATATGAGTGTAATGGCGATATAGTAAGGTATTAAACATAGCAGTTCGACTATTGTCAAAGGTTGTCGAAGAAATCTCAGTTTACTTGGGGCTGTAAGAAATTTTATCACAAATTCTACGAAAAAGAAAATGTTACATGTATTGTCAATAATAATCAACAGATCATTCGGACTGACGTCATTAAAAATGTCCAAATCGTTTCGCAGATCCATTGACGTTATTGTTATATTTCTTCTTTTGGCATGGATTGTAACAGATCCAAAATAGGGTAAAGTCTCTAATATAAAGACTGTTATAGAACACGTCACGATACATAGCGATAAAATAGCATAGGCCTGAAATAATAAAAAAAAAACATTATATTACTTATACAAAGAAAAAAATAAATAAACCATCACCATAAACAGATATTTACCATTCAACATATATCTATCATTCAACAGATATCTACTATTCAACAGATATCCACTATTCAATAGATATTTAACAGTCAACAGATATCTATCATTCAACAGATACCTACCATTTAACAGATATTTAACAGTCAACAGATATCTATCATTCAACAGATATCTTCTATTCAACAGATATCTACTATTCAACTGATATTTAACAGTCAACAGATATCTATCATTCAAAAGATATCTACCACTCTACAGATTTCTACAATTCAACATAATATATCTACCATTCAATAGATATCTACTATCTAACAAGATATCAACAGTCAAACAGATATCTAGTCAACTACTAGTCAACAGATAACTACCATTCAACAGATATCTACTATTCAACAGATATGTACCATTCAACCGGGTATCCATCGTTCAACAGATATATAACAGATATCTACCATTCAACATATACCCATTTAACAGATTCCCAACATTACTACTGATATCTATCACACAGCAGGTATCTATTGTTCAACAGATATCTACCATTCAACAGATATCTATCATTCAACAGATATCTATCATTACAAATGCAACTAATATTTATCGTTCAGCAGATATCTGTACCTTTTATATCCTTAGATCTCACAATGTACCATCTGAATAGTATAATTTACTTACTAAAGCACCCTTAGATGAATAGGGATCTTGTAACCAGTTCCAAATTTTTGGACGAGATCTACTCCACAGGGACGATTCGTCACCTCGATAGTTCCCGCGGAATTTCAAGCTATGATCAGCTTCAAACTTTCGTAACATTTCCAAAGTATCTTCATAATGACAATAATTCACCCAGCAACACTGTTCAATTTGATTTTCATCCAGTTGCCAATATTTCAATTCATCTTTTATCATAGGTCCACACAAATCGGTCGGTACATGTAACGAATCAGTCCTATAAAAATTTAAAATATGTGCGAAAACCGCTGGATGTCTGTCAAAATACACTTCTTTAAGTCCTTTTTTCTTAGCCACCACTGCCACATTGTATAGTCTTGTGTCCGGCTTTTTTAACAGTGTGGTGAACGTCGTAACGTGTTGAACACCGCCAACATTCAGTATAATTTTATCACTTTCGGGAATATTTGGAATGGATTTTTCCCGTTGTTTTTCTGCTAACAGTCCTAACACAGCACCTCCTATTGTGTTCTTTCCTGATGCCATTTCAAAACCTGTCAATTCTTAATTTTTTCTCCATCAAAAGCATCTCAATTTTGTCACTGTTCAAACACAATCGTTCACATAAAAAATTTTCAAAGGATTATTACGGGAGCACTAAACCAGAACCGGGCGGAACTGGATGTCTTGAAATAAAACACCGCAATATACATGTAAATTACTGAGAACATGGACAATATTCAAGGCGTTGGCTACTTGTTTGAACTATTGAACATGCGGTTGCAACAAGCAATTGTAATTATCACGTTTTTTAACAGTTTATCATTACAAACTTAACAAATTACGATAGAACAAACCGCTAATTAGATCCCGAAACAATAGCTACACCTGCCGGTTTTTATCTGAGAAGCTCTCTGTATACTATTAACTACTACTATCTTCAACCTACAATGAAAATAGTACATTAATTAAGGGAAAATAACTATATCTAGGACAAGTGGTTGCCTAGCAAGATACGCCCACTTTCCTGATACATTTTCAGTATATCAAGAGCATTCACCTATCTGTGTCAAATCATACCAAAAATCTAATTTGTGCAAGATATTGTTGATTTAAACAAAGACACATTATTTAATAAAATTCTGACATAAACTGTCACCTCTATCGCCAACAAATTTTGATGAGTTTTTACTAAGTCAAGGGCAATAACTCAAAGACTGTTCATCGAAAGATCGACAAATTCGAACTTGTCCAAGATCTCATCATTATAAATATTCACACCGAATTTCATTCAAATTGGATGAAAACTGTAGTCTCTATTGTGTTCACAACCAAATTTTGACGCGTTTTTCATAAGTCAAGGGCAATAACTCAAAAACCGTTCATCGAAAGATCGTCAAATTCGAACTTGTCCAAGATCTCATGAATATAAATGATCAAACCAAATTTCATTCAAATCAGATAAAAACTGTTGTCTCTATTGCGTTCTATTGCGACGGCGACGACATTCATTAATACTTCTATAAATAACAAATATACAATTAGTCGGTCAATTGCTTGGATACGTCTAGAAAATAATGATTGCGGGTTCTTATCTCTGTCCGAGTGTAAAAGTCTGGTGGCCTTTATTCATTATCCAGTCGACCAATCTGTAAATACATACGGATTTCCTGGAAAATTTAAAAAGCTAAATAACTAACGAAGACGATCAGTTAGACAGGTTTCTCGGGAACTCATGATGTTATCCTTGAAACAAAAATGGAATTTGCTTTCTTTTTTGTCCTATTTAATGTTATTGACGCATGTTCTGGTTATTTAAACTATAATGAGGAAAGTTTGAAAACAATCAATTTTTGTTGCAAAATTTATTGCATATCACATTAGGATCCATGTTTCTAAACATTCCATAAGTTTCGCTCGTATGTTTTTAGGGCCCGGTTATCAATAAAAATTGGCCTATATCTAAGTAGAATCTTAATGGAACGAAAAATTTGAATTTATGACTATTAGTAGGTCTTTATAAGGAAAATATCAGATGATAAATTACTAAAAAATCATCTCATTATCAACTCTAATTAGAAGTAATTATCATATTTACATTGATTTTGTTACCATGGAAATTTCATAAATATTATCAGATATAAGATGTGTTTCGGATTGTGACTGGATAATAGAGCGATATTCATGTAGTCTCCTAATTCTGACTGAACCAGTCTCAAGAACATGCACTTATCTACATGCAAATCTAACGTCCGGTTCGTCTATTATTAAAAAATCGATTAATTCCATTAAGTGCAGTTCCAATTGTTAATTTACCGCGACAGTCTAATCAAAATTAGACCAAACTTTCGTTCCGTTTTTATTAACTTTTATTTTTAACTTAGCCACTTCAGTTAGGGCCAAATGACTGTCTTCTTGAACAATCGCCAGTTTTATTACACCGCCAGCCAATCAAATGTCTGCCCTCTCCAACACTGGGATTTTTTGACGAGAACAAAATGTTCACTCAGTGTCCAATGCTTCTGATGTCTGCGTTCAGATAGTCAACCTGACGTCGGTTTTAACTTGAACACCTAAAATAATGTCGTTTAAAGACAATAATACAATATTATACATCGAAGTACACTACTGAAACAGATTTGACAATCCGATTTACTAACACAAATCCTACTCAAACGTAATAGGCTATATTATTGCGGGTTTTTGTTGTTAGGAATCCAAGACTACAGAAATGTCAGCCTGAATAATATTGTTCTGGCTGACAAAGCACATTAACCATCTAATAAAGGCAAAATATACCACATTCCTAATGAAATATAATCAGGAATTAATCCATAAAATCAATGCCTTATTTGACCATTCTGTTAGAAGCCCTCACAAATTACTAGAGTAAATAATTCAGCTATTGTATTTCACATAAATCTAAACTACAGTCCAATAAAACTAAACAAGTTAGAAAAAGTCAATTGTGTTTTGATGACGCCAATATAATTAATCTATGATTGGAAATAATGAAATCGAATTCTGATCTCTGCATGGCGTTGTATAGTGGTTCCGAATCTTTTTCAGTCGTCACACTGGAGAAATCTAAAAAAAACTTCAAAATCATGTACCAACCACATGTCCAGCATATTGTGATGATATTAGGTGCTCTCCCAGCTTAAAAATAAATTATTATCCTACACCAGTGAGCCACACTCCTGACACCCTAGTCCCACGCCCCACGGGATGAACAAATCAAAGGGTGGAACCGTTGACGTAAAAGTACGGTACAGATATATAATCATTAATATCTATAATTATATATATATTATACCTTTTAACTAATCATAACGAATAATTTGTTTTACATGGGATACAGGAGCTTGAACCTTGTCGAGGGGAAAATACAAAAAATATTTTTACATCATAAGAAACGGCTCTAGGAACTATAGCTATATTAGCTATATAGAGGTCTTAACTAGGTAATTTTCAAATTACATAAATTATGCTTTAAAAATGTCATTCTAAGCAATGTAAATATATAAATTTGTAATATTTTCATCAAAATGAATTCAATATAGACCTGAGGGTGTGGGACTAGGGAGTCAGGGGTGTGGTCAACTGGTGTAGAAGAAGAATATATTTTGAAGTGCGAGAGCACCTCACATCATTTCATGCTGGAAATGTGGATGAAACAAATTTTTTGGGGTATGAATGGTCCAAGTGATTGCTCCAGGGATGTGAAGGCTGAAATAGGTAGGGAACCACTGCTCTAATGCATCAAGGGTTGAATATCAAAACTAACTCATCAACTCGTGTGTATTAATTAAAGTTCAATTCCCGTACCCCTTGACACCAAAGAAACTAAAGAAAATAACAAGTTAATTTGAGTTCATTGTAAATCTGTATTATCATTAAGCAGCTTATCCTAATTAGTATACCATATTATTAAAATCTTATTGTAATATAATACAAAAAAGAGACATAAAATAATATTTATGATACACAAATTACATATAAACAAGAGTAAGGTATTCCTATGAAATTTTGCTTGGTTGGCAATGTACTGGAAACGCACTATCTATCAATAGAACACACTTTGTCCAAATATACTCACATTTAGATGCATCGAACGTCATAACAAATCAGACATTGAAATTTCAAAGTTTCATCCTTCAACATAGACGTCTTTTTAGTTATTAGGGATTGAGAGCCGACTATGGACCGACTTCGGTACACTGGCACATGCATCATATTTTTTCTTACCTTTAGGATGAACTCACGGAAACCAATCGCCCAGCAGACGACAATCCAACTCGAAACCGACTGAGTTCTTCCACTGCCACAACAAAGTGTTAGGGGAAGTATTGACGTTTACACAGTTCGAAAATTTTTAAGGAAATATTCATATAGCCTGCCACGGACAAGGAAAGGTATAAAGGGATGAGAGCCGACACCGGGCTAACTCTAGCACAGGCAGGGTGATGTACATGCAAGATGAAGACAAAAGCGCCAAAAAAGATGATGCAGACGGTCAGACGCACATGGGTGTCGACAATGTCGTCTAAATATAGATAAAATTGATAACACTTCTACGAACCAAGTGACGAAACTCTGTAAGTATAGTTCAACAGATATATCCATATCTTACCTTATGGTTGATTCAAAAAAAAAATCTACAGTCCATGAACTTCGGACTACGAATGAAGACAATCTGCTAATTTCGCTACCAAACACAAGTAAAACTCGTAAACAATTTAATCAAATCCTGAAAACTACCGAAAAGAAAGTATCAATTCATAGATATTATATATTAATCCATATATTAATTAAAGCTATATCCTTCCTTAAGACGCTTACACCACAATCTGGTCATCGAACTGGAAGGAAGTAAATCTTAGTTTGGCATCGTTATTTGGCAAAAAGAAAAACCACAGCAGATACAACAACAGAAACATCCTCAAAAAATCTGGTCATTGAACCTAAGTAAGTAAATCTAAGTTTTGCACTGTTATTACAAGAGTATTATATATGATGCGATAAATGTGATTTTTAATTGTGTTATTAATGGTATATTAGGAATAAATCGGTATTATTAATATTGAAATAATATAAAGACAGACAATAGGGAATGATATAATAGGTGTATAGATTGTTAGACATATGTCATCTTAATATTTTATAACTTATAATTACTCTGGTCCAGTATACACGCTATATCCTTTCTTTGGACGCTCACGGACTGACCTCGTAATGTGATTAAAATACTACTTCAGATATTTTGTTTTCAGCTCCATTCGAAATTAAATCAGATTGCGCAATATTTGAGGCAATGAAGTGTCATTTTTTTAAGTATATTTTTAATAGCCACCCACATTTTCGAGTGTGCTACGGCGATGGAATGAAACGTAATGAATTTAAGTTTTAAGTCCTACTTCTGTGATTGTCATAGTTATGCACGTAGTACAAAACTCGGTCTTGCAAATCAGTCCCTTAGGGTTGGGCGGTATTTTAGAGGCTGATATGAGTCAACTAGTTTCGGACCAATTTCGTTAAGATGCAAA